GAATTTTACAGCGATATGTTCAACTTGTTGACTGCTTAAAATTGGGATAGTCAGTTTTCCTCTCTGCATCAAATTATTTAATGATGTATACTAATAGAATATACTATGGAGTACAAGGTGATAGATAATTCAAAAAGTATATAATTGTATTAATCAAATCAGGGTGATTGGCACTTCTATCTCTTTAAATGTTTGTCTTTCTGTTGAGAATCTCTGAACTCCTCTTTTCTAGTTTTCTACAAAATATATAATCAATTGTGGCGAACTGAAGGCATAGGGCCGTAGGACTTATTCCCCCTGTCTGTATTTTGATACTCTCTGTTGAAACTTCCCCATATTCCTAGTTTCTAATGAACATCCCATGCTTTCCTACTTTCTAATGAACATTATTCTACAAGTTCAATTTTAGACTTGGACAAAGGAAATGAAGGCTCTGAATGCAGAACAATTGTTACAGAAAATTGTGAGTCATGTGAGCATAAGTTGCATTGTGGAACTGGATGATAAATTTCACAAATCTGGAGTATAGAAAAGAATCCAGACCATGAGTGTAATGAAACACTAAAAATTCAGAAAGAGCCAGGTGCTTGCAAGTCAGAGAGAAAAAGCTTTGGACTAAACAGCCCTCATTCCTGATCTTGTTTCAAGCACTAGTTATCGTTTACCTTCAGAAATGTAAAACAGCTGCTTCACTTCTGTGAGGCTGATTCTTCATCAGTAAAGGGGGGTGATATAACACACTTCCTTAAACACAGAGAATTAAACTGTCTCAGTTGAAACCAGGTGTCAGTTGAAAAAAATGTGAAAATTGCTCAAACACTGTACAAGCTTCAGAGATGTCACCAGGCCACGAAGGACACCAGGGGCTGCCGTTCTAATCAGAGGAATCATAGGACATGGCTTGTGTCCTTCAGTAGCCATGACCAAGGACGGGAGTGCTGTCCCATCCTTTCTACACCTCTAACTACGTCATAAACGCCATCCATTTCTGGGTGGGAATGTTTCTGCAAGGGCTCATCTTATCAGGCTGCCCAATGAGGCTAGTGTCCCATCTGAAAAATAAGGGTGATCTCATTCATGACTCCCTATCCTAGGGTTGCAATCTCTGTAGCTACAGATGATAGAGGAGTTAGGAGGGGCTTGAGACGCCTGAGCTGAGCTGAGCTCAACGCTTTCACAGATGAGGATCTGGTATATCTCCTTCTTTGGGGTTTCCCATCTAAGAGAAACCATATGATATTTAAACATCTGTGGCTGATTTATGGTAGGAAACAGGGAGGCAGATGTTTTGGAGAGGGAGAAGGGGCTCTGGAAAAGGGGAAGAGAGGGGGGAGTAGGAGGAAAGGAGACAAACATGATCAAGATTATGTATGGAATGTAATGATTTCTCATTGCAAAAAATAAAAACATTAAAAAAATAATAGAGGGCTGTCATCTTCTTTTCCTCCAGAGAAAGAAGGCACCAGTGCCAGGATCAAAAGACTTCCTTCTGGGCTGAGCCTGTGGTCTCTGTGGGAGAGCTCAGAAGCATGTCCCACCCAAGGATTCCAATACTGCATAAGCCTGACATTTCCTGTGTCCGAGACCAGCTGCAGGGCCGGATCTCACATGCGATGTCCACAATGGAAAGACCGATGCTATGCTGTGATTCCCCACAAATGTCTATCTGAGAAATCATACGAAACACCTTACCCCTGCCCTCCCTTCACCCCCTCCTCCCCTCCCCATCTACAAACACTTTATTTTCATCTTTTCATTATCTCACATTTTTTTCCTTTCCATTACCCTTCCCCTACCCATCCCAACAGTATGCTTTTAAAAATCAAAGTCATCTCTCAAAGATTGGATTTATTTTTCTTAAGAAAAACAGAAAGAGAAATAAGATAAAAATAAGAATGATGACCCAGGTGTGGCGGTACAGACCTATACAAAACTCAGAAGGCTGAGGCAGGTGGATCACTAGGAGTTCAAGGCCACAATGGGGTACATAGTGAGTTCAAAGCCAGCCTGTCTCAAAACAGAATGAGTTAATAAGAATGACGGTATCGATTGTAATAATGATGAAAAGATTATGATAATGGTGGCGGTGGTGGTGGTTACTATAATGAATCAGTGTTTATTGAGCATTTTCTGTGAAGAAAGTCTGATCTCAGCACTCATTTGCTTTTGAGAGGCATTGAATTTCTTTTTTTGATTCTTGTTTTGCTTTTATTTAAATTGGCAAAACTGTATCCATTTTTGTGGGCAATGTGGTGTTTTATACCTAGTGGAATGAATAAATTGAGCTAATAAACATATGCATTATTTTGCACAGTTATCCTTTTATGGTTAAAACACTTAAAATCTAATTAGCTAAAATTAGCTTAAAATTGATTCAACTAACATTTGGCCTGTGCAGAATCAAGTCTCAAGTGATCTAACTCAACGCCTTTGTGTTTTAACAAAACCCATTGTGCTTCCTCTGAATGTAACAGAGAAGCTCATCTCTTACACGTCTTCAAGTTCTCACACTGTCTGAGGAATTCTCTTTTCGAAGTCCACTCGCTGGCTTTGCTCTTTATCGCACTCACAGGCCTCCTTCCTTTCGCAGAGGACAGAGGCTAAAGACCCTGAGTCTGACAAGAACCAGGGTGACTTGACAGGAATTTATAACCTCATGTGCACTCGGATTCTTGTATAACAGGAAACTGCGTTGAAGTTCAGCATTTCTGTCCCTGCCTGTGCCCGTGTGGACGTGAAGGAGCAGCCTGGGCTGACATGGTGACCCTTTCCTCAGATAAACAAAACCAGAAGAATTATCAACCATGCTCTATCTAAGTATCTATGCTTTCTCATGTCCATTTTCCAAAGGCTTCTTCATAAAAGAGAGGTGAAAAGTTACTTTTCAGCAGTTAGAATATAAATACTGCCTTCTTACTTCACAGGTGTCTTGTCCACCGTACCAAAACTTTGGAAGTTTGCATTATTGCTGATTTTTCTTGGTCCATTTTTCTTTCCTCCCTGGCAGGAAAGGGAATCGATGTTTATGAGGTTCTGGTCACTAGTCAGCTACTGCTCTGAGTATATCCTCTCCTTCTCCTGGGCACAGACTAAGGAACGAAGGACTCCTTGTTGGACCCAGACCCTGAGGACCAGGAAGGTTTGTTTGCTTAGAAGGCCGGGTAACAGAGAAGTGACATCTCCTCAGAGCCGAGTTTTACCTTTTAGGCCTGCAGAGGCTTGGGCAAAGGCTTTTACAGAAGTTGAAGTTCTAGTAAAGAATTTGAAAAGAAAAAGAGCTGGGGATAATGAGAGGGGAGGCCTAAGGGAGCCATGGAGACAGCAGCCTGGGCGTGGATGACGAGTCACTGTGAGGGCAGCTATCACGGCACGAAGGGCCACGGGAAGCTCATGGGACCAAGAGGAAAGCGTCATCTGAACTCCTTTGTTTCGAAAGAGAGAAGAAAACATCATTTCCTTAGCACCAATAAGAGACTGTTCTTAGTGTGACATATGCTTTTTATTTTCCATTTTACTAATACAGTCTTGTATGAACACACTAATACACTCTCTTTTTTTTTGGTCCTGGGGATTGAACTCAGGACCTCACGCTTGCCAGGCAGGTGCTGTGCTGCTGAGCTAAATCCTCAGCCCTTACACTGTCCTTTTAAAATTAGAATATAAAAATCTGAAAGTGAAAGGTCCCTCTGCTCTTCAATGGCCTTTGACCAAAGCAATGCACTATTATGAAGTTGACAGTACCCTTCCAATAGCTTCTGAAAATAACTCTGGCATACACAAATGCACACTCACGCATACACTCCTACAGGCAAAATCATATTGTTGTCTAGTGATTTTTTCCATTAATGTCATGATACTACATGAACCATTCTTCAACTTTGCCTTTTCATTTAACTTTGTTTCCCAGACTTCTCTTTATTGATATATCAAAATGCAAATTATTTTTAATTCCTGTATGAAATCCATCATGTTTGTCATATTTTATTGCAACATCCTTTCTTTGATTATTTGATTTTATGACAAAAATTCTACAATGAGTATCATTGTGCCTGATTAAATGCGCACATCATTCAGAGTTTCTTCAAATAAAGATCTAGACATGAATTCAGTGTTTGGGGTGCTTATTTTTAATAAACACCATCAATGGGAAGAAAGGAGCTAAAGGTGTAGGGAAGGTGGGATGGGTAGGGGAAGGGTAATAAGGGAAAAGAAAAAAATGTGAGATAATGAAAAGATGAAAATAAAGTGTTTGTAGATGGGGAGGGGAGGAGGGGGTGAAGGGAGGGCAGGGACAAAGAGAAAAAATGAGAACCAAGACCTGTCATGTAGAGGTACAAGATCCCAACAATGAGTGTAACTGTACTGTATCCCTAAAATGTACCAATAAATTCAATTAAAGCTGAAAAAAATAAAAAATAAACACCCTCAAGTAACTTTTCTGAGGTGACTGAGTTGCCAGCAGTGGATGAAAGAGCCTGCTGCTTCTTATTTTTAAGCAACGCTGATATCATCAAGTGTTTTAATCTTAACCAATAAGGAAGAATGGAATCACACTATAGCTATAATCTGGCATATCTGATTACTGCTGAAGCTGGATGTGTTTTTAAATGTTCCCATAATTTGTAAAAAAATTTGTTTACACATTTACCTCTTCATCTCTTGGTTGTTTGACTTTATATTATTTGTAGGGGTTATTTCTGCATTCTGCTTTTTGCATTTTCCCTGCCTTCACTGGGTGCATAGTTAATGCCTTAAAAAGCTGGAGTTGTTGCCCTTTGATACAACGTGGATGGAATCGGACGACATCAAGCTCAGAAAAATAACCCAGACACATAGATGCTGCATTAGCTCACCTCGCCGTGGACTCTAAACATCTGCCCTTTACAGACAAGCACCACAGTTCACAGAGTCCCACGTCGCTCTCTTGGGGTCCTTGGCAAGTGCAGAAAATAAAATTCCTTTTCTTCCAGCTCTGCCACTCACTGTCCACCTGCAGTTTCTTATCCTGCGCAGAGCTTTCTCAGGACATTTTTTATCTCTTCATTTCTCAGGGTATAAATGAGTGGATTCAGCATGGGTGTCAGAATGCCATAAAAAACTGCCATGGCCTTGTCTGTGGAGAAAGTAGACGAAGGTCGCATGTAAATAAATACACAGGGCACGAAGAACAAGGCCACCACTGTGAAGTGGGCCCCGCAGGTGGACAGGGCTTTGCGTCTCCCCTCCTCACTGTGGGACCTCAAGGAGCGCAGGATGACAACGTAGGAGGCAGCCAGCAGGAGGAGGCTCAGCAGGCAGATCACCCCGCTGTTGGCGGCCACCAGCAGGCCCGTGACGTAGGTGTCGGCGCAGGCCAGCTCCAGCAGAGGGTACAAGTCACAGACGAAGTGGTCGATCACGTTGGGCCCACAGAAGGGCAAGCGAAGGACCAGGAGGAGCTGAACCAACGAGTGCAGGAAGCCCCCCAGCCAAGCCAGGGCCACCAGCACGGCACAGAGGGTCCTGGTCATGGTGGCCGTGTAGTGCAGGGGCTTGCAGATGGCCACGTAGCGGTCGTAGGCCATCACCGTCAGCAGGATGATCTCAGCACCTCCCAAAAAGTGGGCTCCAAAGAGCTGAGCCATGCAGCCCTCGTAGGAGAGGGCTGTGCCCTCATACAAGCAGTCAGCAATGAGCTTAGGGGCCAGAGAGGAAGAATAGCAGGTGTCGATGAAGGAGAGATTGGCCAGGAAGAAGTACATGGGGGAAGCCAGCATGGAGCTGAAGGTGACAGTGACCACAATGATCATGTTGCTGCCCACCGTGGTCACATAGATAACCAGAAAGACTACAAAGAGAACTCTTTGTACCTCTGGCTTCTGTGACAGTCCCAGCATGAAAAATTCTGTCAGATTGTGCTGCATTGCCATAGATTCCAAGGAAGCGGAGCTCACTGTTCCAGCACTGCCTTCAGAGCCAAAGGAAACACACAAGAATTAATTCCAGGGTGAGGGGACTGCAAGGCTTCCTTGACGCACCCACTTACCTTTGTCCTTCTTGTGACCGCCTCGCGCTCCAAAATCTTAACACCTGGTCATCCTCCATTTATCTGGTTAACCGTAAGATGCACTGTGTGTCTGTTAACTTCAGCACCACTAGGAGCAGCTATTTAACGGAACAGCTGAAAGTAAGAACTTAATCATCTTAATCTGCAATTTTTGTCTCTGCTGAGGTTGAACATTTGACAGACACTGGCTTTCTAACTTAAGCTGTGTCCCTCTCTGACCATTTTCCGAATACGCAGACTGGCACTGGAGAAGACTAAATATTTAAGATCTCCCGAAAAGTGTGCCTACGTGACCTATGCCCTTCAGAGGAAAGCTTCCCCCACCACAAGTTTCGCCCTACAGTGAGTTGGTTTTTCCAGTGGTGACATCAAGCGATGTAAGACAAACTGGGTCCAGACTCAGGAATCCCACTGGGCCACGGCTGGGGTCGTCCTCCGATCCTCGGTCACCCCGCCCCGCACAGCCTCATGTTTATGAAGCCAAGCTAAAAGACTTCCCCGCTTGCTGACACATGCTGTGCTCTTCCAGGCTCTGCCTTGGTGAAATCCACCTAGTTAAGGTCCTTCCTGGCTACCAGAATATTCAAGGTGAAAAAAACAAAATAAAATAAAATAAAAATAAAGAACTGCTGAAGCTCTGTGAGGACCGTTCTGCGACGTGACTGCCCGCTGCCTAGGAAAGCTATGAGAACGGAGCAGACACCCGCTGGAAACTGTAATCTCGGGTGGAGGATGCTTACTCATTCATTATTTGGCTTGTCTTTTTGCATTTTTTTTGGTAGACTTCTGTGAAACATAGTAAACCCATTCTTCTCGGGGGATTGGAACACACCGCATCGTGATCCTTTATTCTTCCAGTGAGATTAAGGAAATGCCTGTTCTCATCTTAGTTTTGGTTTTAAAACAGAAAAACCATTAACCCTGCCCATCCCCTATACTTTTCCTACAGATGCAGACCGTTTTGTAAAGTAGCCAGGACCTCTGATTTTCTGAAGATCTAATGTTCAGTATAGTAAGTAAAAGAAGCCATAAAGCTTCATAAAAAGAAAGAGACGTGCAAACATAAAAATTGCTGGAGAAAAGATTTCTGTGCTGATGAGGAAACTGCTCCCCTTTCTTCTCTCCGTACAAATAAAGCTTCTGCAAGGGACACCTCTGGTGGGGCCAAACTGTACCTGCTCCTCTCCTCTCTATTCCTACGAGGTACTTTGATTCTCATTTTGCAGAGGAAGAAAATGAGACGCACAGTGAACGACTCTGAGTGGGGGTCTCGAGTATTCTCCTTCCCTTCCCCGAGCCCCTACTCCTCGGGGACGCATCACGGGGAAGTGAGTGGTGGTCACCAGGCTTTCTTACCACAGATCTGAGAGCTTCGCTGAGCTGTGTCACCATACTGCCACCTGGGGGGGGCCCTTCCCGCTCAGAGCATTGACCGTGTTACCAGGACATTTCTCAGAGCCTCCGTGTGCTTATTTATAAAAGGAAAGTAAGAGTACTTACAATTATTCGGTGTCCATTTTAACAGCCGCTGTAAATGTTTAGAATCATTACTTTTCTCCGTAGCCTGAGGTCACAGGGGACGTGGTTGTCAGAGCCCGGCCATGGTCAACCCTCTGTGAATGGCCCCTCTCGCCAACACCATTGCACTGCAGACAACAGCTCCTCGTGCGGCTTAGGAGGCCAGGAAGTGTGTGCCGGGATTGGTATGGATATCATTTTTAAATGATCATGAAACAGTCCCTAATGCTGATTTTAATACAGAAAAGCAGAGGGCAGAGAAAATAAAATCACTGTGAGTACTGTCCAGGAGGACCAAATAATTCCTATGCCCCAAAGTAACAATAACAAGCTGACTTACCTCTGTGATTCCAATTTGTGGGAGCACAAAATAATGTTTATTAGAAATTAATGAAGTCCCAGGCATGGTGCTCCACCCTTGTAATCCCAGCACTCTGGGAATCTGAGGCAGGAGGACAACAAGTTCAAGCCCAACCTGAGCAAATTAATGTGACCCTTTCTCAGAAATAAAAAAGGACTGGGGGTGTAGCCCAGTGTGAAGCCCTTGGATTCCATCCCCAGTATTAAAATCAACCACAAACTAGTAGACGAAGGCAGTCTACTGCTGGCTTTATCCAAGAGAAACAAAATTATCTGTACAAAGTGATGAGAATTTTAGTAAAATTATTCTACTCCATTTTTATTGGGTTTTTTTTAATAAATGAGAGAAAACTTACATTGACCAGATCTGAGGGCACCAAGAGATCTCCAGAATGTCCTTGCACCCCAACGTCATGGATGAGTGAACCCGAAGTTCTGAAAGATTCGCTGGGGTCTATTCCAATAATATATTCTCATATTTCAGTCTTTCATGCTTTTAAAATCCTAGATGATATTCAGGTTTTGTTACAATTAGCCAAAGCACAAACAGGGCATCTGTCACTTATTTAAGAAGCTGAGCGGAACTTGTCTTACAACACAACTAGGTGCAAACCCCAAAGGAGGCCATTCGCGTACGAGCAGGTCGGTAGGGATCCATTTCATCCCAGTTCCTTTTATCAGAGAAAGAGCACAATAACATCTAAAATCGTCTTTCCCTGGTGCCTGCATTTTAGTAGTGAGACTTAGAGATGAAGGCCAGTAGGTCCGAAATTGTGTGGGTGATTTCAGTGGAGCGGAAACATGACTGGAACCTGGTCATCTGTCACTCCCCTGGGTGCCCTTTCCCATACAGCCACCACACCCCTGGCCTGGGGATTCAGCTCAGTCGTTCCGCCACCTGCCTCACAAACGCAAGGTCCTGAGTTCGATCCCCAGTACCAAAGGAAAAAACAACCACCACACCCCTCTGTCTGCTTCCCCTCCCTTTGGAAAAAAAAAGAAAGAGGGAGAGGGCGGGGGAAGGAAGGAAGGGAGGAGGAAGGAGGAAATGTACTAATTCTCATTGGGAAAAGCTCTACAAAGGGACAGCAGGGTTACTTGTTCTCCTTTCTTCAAAGAACGAGTTCCCAGAAACACAGTTTGGTTTGTCGGGGGAAGTAACCTCTACTCTGCCCCTTAAAAATTATTTTTCTCTAAAACTGTTTTTATATTTTCCTTATTAATATCTATTCATATTACATTAAGATAAAAAATAAATTTTACCTTAAGAGATGCCCCGTGTCCGTGTAACAGAAAGACCACAGATTGTCACAAACAAAAGGGAGAGTTAGGGTATTTGGGGAACTGATACTGGAGGGTCAGAGTTTCTAGGCACGGCAATGACTGAACAGCAACAACAAATCTGATAGCGTTGATTGAGCAGCCTCTGTTCGGGTCCCACTTAACATAATATAGCTACATGTCAGGCATTCCACAAGGAGAATGCCAGACCTGCTGCCTAACGGCAAGGAGCCTATATTCTAAAAGGAGCGAGACTCACCTCCAAACTAAAGCAAGAAGAAAAATTAATAATGACAAAGTCAAATATATGAATTGGCTGAGTTAACTAGACGATAGGTAGGTAGGTAGGTAGGTAGGTAGATAGATAGATAGACAGATAGATAGATGTCATAAATAGTTATGTAAGGGTACACGGTCCCAATGATGACTGTAACTGTGCCGTATACTTTAAAAGTACCAGTAAACTCAATAAGATTAAAAAGTAAAATAAATGATTATAAATTAGTCTTCAAAAAGCAATACCAGTTTGCCTTCCCACTCGAGCCCAACAATGCCAATTTTAGAAATTCACCCAATCCTACTCCTTCACGGGCATGCAGTGAAATCGCCAAGCTGAAAACATGGTCACCCTTCGTATTTACTGATATTCTGCACGCAGCAAACTCTCCCCCACAATATTTGGAACTATTTCTACTCCCAGTGCTCTTGTTTGCATAGTCATACATACCCGAGAATTACCCAACACCGCCAAGTCTGTTCCAAGCCGTCTCCAAACCTGTTGCTTGAAAACATCCAGAAAAAGTCACAAAATAAGGAAGATTATTCTGCTATAATTTTATATCCACGACTTCCAAAGGCCCATCAACACTGCTCAGCAATACTGCATCACTTCCTTAATCAACCCACAGCACCACCTCGCCTAAAGGACCGTGTACATGTTTCCTTACTTTCTCCAAAATTCCCTTCCCTAATTTCCAGTCTTTCTTCTTCACGTTTCACACTGCCAATCTTGACAAAGATTTCCTAGAACTATTTTTTTATCTGGAACTTTCCTTCTTTCATTTTACTCCCTTCTGCTTCATAGGTGGATTAATCAACCTTCCCATTGCTGACACCCACAGTTGAGAAGAGATTTAAGTTGGTTCATGGTCTCAGAGGATTCAGTCCATGGGCAGGTGACTGTAAAGCACAAATATAATGGCAGAGCAAAGATACCTGGTGCATGGCACCCAGGGAACAGTGCCAGAGAGAAAGGAGCAAAGGACAAAACAAACTCCAAGGCCATACCTCTATGACCAATTCAGAGAAATCCTGAAATGGGCTCCACTAAGCCCCCAGGGAGACCTCAGAGCCAGTCCAGTTGACACCCCCCCCAACAGCCACAATAGGGGTCAGACTTACATCATCCCCAGTGGTTCTCCTGCCTTCTTCACCAGGCTCCCCACAAAGACTCTCACATATTTACTCTGCCTTCGCATCTGCTTCCCAGAGAACTGAGTGTGGTTCATAATGTAGGGTAAAGAATTTCTACAAATCAGGGAGAGAAAATTAGACCACCAAGTGAGCCTTGAACAAGCACCTCGGAACAGAAGCGGGCTAGCGAGCATACAAGAAAAAGAGAGAACTCACTTCTTTAGTCATCCAGAAACGACAAAACGGAACCACAAAACAACACTGCGATGCTCCTCCCACTCCCACATGGCC